GCATTTGATATCTGCTGGAGTTTGGTTCCAGGCCCCTCAGGATACCAAAATAAGTAGATGCTCAGGTCCCATGAAATACAGTGGCGTAGTAAAATGGTATCTCTTATATAAAATGGCAAGATCAAGGGTTGTTCTTTGGAATTCATATTCCAAAGGAATATGAAGTATAATCTACAAAAGCTGAAATAAGGCTAAAATTAATCATTTGGTCTTAAAGGTGTCACAAGTCTGGTAGAAATAAGCCTTTCTTATGTAATCTGATAGAAGCATCAGACCATGATAACTTTTAAAGATTAGTGCCAGTGTGGGTATCATGGTGTGATGCTCCAAGCTCTTTTCGACGTATGGTAGCCCTAAGGTGAACCCATCACTGAGTTTTCTTGACAAGATTTGCTCAAAAAGGATTTGCCATTGCCTTCTTTTGAGGCAAAGAGAGTGTGATTTGTCCAAGGTCATACAGGGATTTCCATGGCTAAGGATGCAATTTTTGGCCTGCCAGAGTCCTAGTCCAACACTCAAACAACTACACCACACTGAGTAGCTAAGCGCAAAGTTCTGCTGCCACTTAGTTGACATTCAGTCCCATTGCAACAGTGAGAGGTTAGTTATGATTAAAGCTTGAAAGTGTTGTGTTGGAAACAACAGCATTACCTGTTACACATTTCTTTTGAATATGGCATCCTTCTAACCTTTTAAAATTAATGTGTGAACTTGTAACATAATTAGTTTTTTGCTGCTCCAGAAATGTTGCTTTGGAGTCTTGTGGGAAGGGGTTGCCAGTGTTTATGTTTTTAGGTATAGGCTGGTTAGGTTAGTGAGAACAAGAACCTGTTTGTTGGTGGTTTCCTAGCTAAGAGGTTCTCTTTTAACAGATTTCCACTTCATTTATTGGTACAGAATTTAAGCAAGCCCTGAAGATCTGTCTCTTCATAGCTGGTTTCAAGACTGTAAATGATTTAGCAAGAGGAGCTTTCTTTGGCAGCATTCACCTTTTCAGGGTATTTGTGTAATTTATTTTGACCTATGGTGATTTAGGAGCATTCAAGTCTGAAGGCAAGTTACTTTGAAATAAATTAATGTGGGTATATATCTCAGTTCATGATGTAGATATGTTCCTGGTCCTTACTTCTTTAACAGAAATGTTGGTATCAGAGACAGAAATAACATGGAAAGTGTAGGGATAGGTTCCAAATCTCTCTCTCTTCTCTCTCTCTCTCACACACACATACACACATATTACTCGGTATGTTTCAGCAAACATTTTTTTTCTAAAAATAACAATATGCACATGTAAAATGAAACCACCAAGTCAAGTAAGCCTTGCATAAGTAAACAAAACCATCTTCAACCTTCTAGGGGTAGGCAACCTTTCCCCTTTAAGGGCCGAGGGACTTCAGTTCCCAGAATCTCAGGAGCTATTGGCCAACATGGGACTATTGGCCAACATGTCTGAGGCTTCTGGAAGCTGAAGTCCCTTGGCCCTTAAAGGAGAAAGGTCGCCTACCCCTGTTAGAGACAACTTCACTTGTGAGCTTCTTCCATAATACATCAGGAGACATTTTATTCTTTCTTTCTGTTTTTTTTTTAACACTAGGGAAAGATGGTATGACAGGCTTATCTCTTCCTCCCCTTTTGCATTTCATGCACACTTAGGGGTGAAACAGACCACCCCGAAAAGCCAGCTCTGTGCTGCCCCTTTGCTCGCCAGGGGTGGGGCCATGGCAGCTACATGGGACATTCCCAACGCAGCATTTTCCCAGCGCAGAAAGAAGTGGCAGAAAGCCATTCCTTTTTGCGCCTGGAAAAAGGGCCTTTACCGTGGTGGTGGTGGTGGTTTTTCTGCAGTGTGTGGCATCTAAACGCCACACCACCAAAACACCGCTGCTGTTTGGTTGTTTGGGGCGGCATCAGGGTGTGTTCCTGGCATCTTAGGGGCGTGTCTTGTGTGTACCCCAAGCCACCAGGATGCCGGGTCTTTTTGCTGGTCTATTCAGCCCCTAAGTAAGGGATTCTGGAGGGAACTGCTATCCTTGTTTTGGCAGGCATACACAGCAGTGGTAGGATTGACTAGATAAAATCCCGCTTTCTCCCACCTTAAGCATCATTGCTTTGTTTCCTATGGACTTGCTGCTGTAACCTGATGCTGAAATCTGTTTCAGCCCCATTTCACCATATTCCCAGTGCTGACATTCTGGAATCTGCCTTGTAGACTTGAGAATAATCACATTTGCTATGGGCAAAAAACAATATTCCAATATGGCACTCTGTATCAGCGGTTGGCAAACTATGGCCCGCGGGCCAAACCCGGCCCATCAAGGCCTTGGAACCGGCCCATGGCCAGTCCCGCTGCTGCCGCTGCCGCACTCCTGCCGCTGTTGTGCAACACGGGGCGCCACTTTGCTTTCCAAACTGGCGCTTGTGTACAAATGCGCATGACGGCGGGTGCCATTTTGGAATGCAAAACAGAGCTGGCGTGCACATGCATTTCAAAATGGCACCCACCGTCGTGCGCATGTGCGCGCCTCTGGCGCCATCTCCCCCCCCCCCTTGGCCTGCTGACGATCGGGGGACAGCGGAACCAGCCCCAACACAAAAAGGTATGCCAACCCCTGCTCTGTATCCTTTGGGTTGCCACAAGGTACCATTTTATCTCACTGCTGTTTGTATGAAGCTCTGGTCATCTTGGTCATCAGGAGATCTGGACCAAAATGTCATCAATACCCTGCATTTGTCATTTCTTAATCAGGTATATGGCTGTGCACATTCTGGAGCAGTGCCTGGACACAGTAGTGGTCTGAATTAGTGCCAGTTAGCTGTTACTGTATATAGAGGAGTAGTTCCTTTGACTGGGAGATAGGTACTACCCCTTCTGGATGGAGTTGCATACCCTCTGAAGGATCAAGATTGGAGCCTGAGGATACCTCTAGATCCATCTGTGTCAATTTACTTCATTATCTTGTAGTGGCTTTTATCAGCTTTGATGGATATTCCAGTTGTAGCTGTTCTTTGACAGGGATATTGTCTATATTATCTAGACCAGGGGTTGCCAACCTGCGGCCCCCCAAGGCCTCTGGACCGGCATTGGTAACCTCAAGGCTAGACTTGCAATACTCTCTATGTGATAATACTTGTAATGCTGTTTCAGAAAATGCAGCTGATACAGAATCCTTTTGTATGGTGCAACCTACTGGTACCACATAACATCTTTGCTGTTTATATCTGTTTCACTGACCACATAAAGAGTATATGTTAATTTGTTTATTTTGTATATTTTATTGGTGTACTCCTAACAGTGTAGATATATTGGCAAATGAATTAATAAAGTACAAACTAATACCTTCACACAGTAGTCATCTAAAAGCAGAGAGTAGCAGGCTGAGGCCTACAGCAGCGTTCCAGTCCAGGGCCATGTAGCTGTTGGTCTGGTATTTTTATTTTGGTTTGTTTAGAGCAGGAATGGACAACTGCTGCAGGTCTGCAAGGTCAATTTTCTGCCCTTGGGATCCTCCACATGGACTGCCAAAAATGCCCCCCAAATCTGCACATGGCCCAAAGTCAACTTCTGGTTTTGAAAAACCAGGCATTTTTATTGTTAGTACAGATGAGGGATGCTGTCTGTTAGAAAGGTTGACAACCTTTTCTAATGGACAAGAAAAGGGTGATCTGGGGAATCTGGAAGCATCAGGGAAAACAAAATCAGTCTTGAGGTCTGCACTTTAGCCAATAAGAAACCATATTAACAAAACATTGTGCGGCACTGTGAAGACTAGCAGGTTTATCATAACACGAACTTTCATGAAGATACAGCCTACTTCCTTCAATGCATGGAGTACTGCCTTGGAGTTTCAGGGATATATCCAGTGGAAATGGTTGACTAAACAGTGAGGAGAGAACAAACAAAAATGTAGAACTATTGGCAGTAATAATGACACACAAATAGCCTGGCACTAGGTACTGTGATAAGAATCTGTTACTTGATACAGACTTCTGGTGGTATCTTGGAACTTCCAAGTAAAACAGTTTTTCACTCTCACATTGTAAATAAGGAGGATTCTGACTGAAACCTCAGAGAGTACACTGAAGGCTTATCTTTTTCCAAAAAAATTTTATTGCTTCCTTTTCTTGTCAGCAAGTATTTTTCACTTTTGCTAGCATTTTAATTCAGTTTTCAAAGTTTCATGTGGTGTTTTGGATGAATAGATATTCTCTCTCTAGAACTAAATTATCTATAACAGTTTAACTCAGAAGTGAAGAACATGCATCCTTTCATATGTTTTTAGTTTGAAACTCACATCAACTCTTGCTGGCACAAAGAGAGTAGTAGTTGAACAAATGGAGGGCTACGTTTCCCATCCCTGATTAATATAGTTATCAGTAGCTTTTCCAGAGAGCACAGTACTTGTTGAACTTCATTAAATATATTTGCACTTGTTCTGTATATATTGGAGTCAGTACATACTTTGTGAATAGATTTAAAAAGTAACCCACTTTCTCAGTTCAAAAAAAGTTTCTTATTCTTGCTTCTGGTTTTTCAAGAGGCTTAAATGCAGCAGTACATGAATTACAGTATTCTGTCACACTTCTTCTGTAGTAAGAAAAGTATACTAGATTATTAGCCAGAATTCTCTGTATGATACATCTACACACTATTAGATATATGTCTATGCAAGATTTGTAATCTGTGTATCTAGATCAGCAATGAGAAATGTACAGCCTGTGGGCAACATGAGACCTTCAATACCTTTTTGCGCCCTCTCCCTAAAATTCACAAAAAAATTTCGTGCAAAAAAAAAAAGCTTGAAAAGGGTTAATCCCCACTCTTGGAGATCCCTGGAGGCCTCCAGAAATGGCAGGTTAGTGAAAAACACCCCCAGAACCAGCAGAAGGAGCAAAATGTGGTGTTGCAGCACATACATGGGTAGAGGGCAAAATTTGGACCCTACTGCAGTTACCAAACTCTGACATAGGTTGCATGGTGAGCAGTAGACATGAATAAGCAAGCCAGTGTGATGCAGTTGTTTTGAGTGTTGGACCTATAACTCTGGAGACCAGGGTTCGAATCCCTGCTCAGCCATGGAATCACACTCAGCTTCAGAGAGAGGCAAAAGCCAAACCCCTCTGAACAAATCTTGCCAAGAAAACTCTGCAATAGGTTTATCTTAGGGTTGTAATGTCAAAAATAATTTGAAAGACACACAACAATAGATGTCAATAACAACATGTTTACAAATCAGCAGTGTGTACACAGATAACTGTTAAATACTGTAGTCTACATCCAATTGTTTGTTCCATCTAGATCAGAATAGATAGAATCTACTGTTCAGTTCTAAATTAAGACTTGCAGAAAACTTACTGATTCAGTGAGTCTTACTCTGGTTGGGATCAGCAAATGGATATAGGCCTGCTTGTGAAGATGACCAGTAGAGTTGCTCCATTGTTCTCCCAGAGTAGAATCAGAAATTGTACACAGAAATTGTACACATAGCAAGAAACACATAACAATTGTGGACTTGCTGGCTCTTGTTTTTTAGTATTCTAAACAAAATACTTCAAAAATTATACTAGCAGAGGAATTTTCCTATTGTAAATAGGCCTTTTTAAAAACTATAGGCGTTCAATGGAAATGTAGCTAACAGTTCCAACCATCTAAATTGCATTTTTAAATAACTAGTAAATACAATAAATTTCACTGAGACTAATGCAGTATTTTTAAATTAACTGTCCATTTAAGTAGGTGGGATTTTATCACATGTCAGGTGCGCCTACTGCTGTCAATCCTGATCCCTGAGGTAAGAATGAGGTAATATTGAGGACTGCAAAAGCCATTGTACATGACAGAAAATCATTAGCAGTAAATCCTTTTGAATAAAGTGGGTTGTTGTTAACTGCTTTCAAGTCCACCGACTCATGGCAACCCGATGGATGAAACGTCTCCAAGACTCCCTGTCCTCTACCTCTTTGCTCAGATCCTGCAGGCTCAGGCCTGTGGTCTCCTTGATTCAGTCTATAATCATTTGACATGCAATTGTCCTCTGTTTCTACTCCCTTCCACCTTTCCTAGCATCATTGTCTTTTCTAATGATTCATTTTTTCTCATGATGTGGCCAAAGTATGACAGCCTCAATTTAGTCTTCTTGGCTTCCAGAGATAGTTCAGGCTTCATCTGTTCTAGAACCCATTTATTTGTCTTCTTGGTTGTCCACGGTATCTTCAGTACTCTTTTACAGCACTACATCTCAAACAAATTCATTTTCTTTATATCGGCTTTCTTGCTGTCCAGCTCTAGAAGTCCTAGTAGGCCATAGGTTGAAAATGAGTCAACAGTGTGATGTAGCAGCTAAAAATCCAATACGATTCTAGGCTGCATCAATAGGAATATAGTGTCTAGGTGGAGGGTAGTAATAGTACCACTCTGTTCTGCTTTGGTCAGGCCTCACCTGGAATACTTTGTCCAGTTCTGAGCCCTATGGGTATGTAGTCAGGAGACGAGAAGGTTAAGAGGAGGTATGATAGCCATATTTCAATATTTGAAGGGATGCCACATTGAGGATGGAACAAGCTTGGTTTCTGCTGCTCCAGAGACTAGGACACAGAGCAATGAATTCAAGGTACAGGAAAAGAGATTCCATCTAAATCTTAGGAAGAACGTCCTGATGGTAAGAACTGGTCATCAGTGGAACACACTGCTTCCTTCTTTGGAGAGAATTTTAAACAGAGACTGGATGGCCATCTCTCAGGGATACTTTAATTGTGTACTCCTGCATGGTAAGGGGTGGGACTGAATGACCCTTTCCAAGCTTTGTGGTGCTTAAGCCAACATTAAACAACCTTAACTCCTAAACTTTTCTCTCTTAACTCTCCCCATTTTAACTTGATGCAAAGGGAATACTATTAACAAGCTTTGTCTCAGTTGTCCATGAGTTGTTGTGAGTTAAATTATGTTCTGTCTTAAACTCTAGACCTTCTTAAGATACTGCATGATTAGATGAGGAAAAATGTGTAGTTCGTTGGTAATATGTAATGGACTCTGCTCCATATGGTTTCAAGAGAAGGTTGAGAAAGTGTCAAGTTTGACTTGTAATATTCATTGTGTAGTCTAAGAGTGTGAAATCTAGGGGCCAGTTTTCTGCTTGAGACCCTCCAGGTGCCTCATAGACTGCCATAAAAGAAAAAGATCTAAAAGTGGTTGTAATAACATTTTTGGTTTTGAAAAACTGACTTTTTTTTTAAAATCATTAAACAGTGCAGATATCCCCACTGACCAATTTAAAAGACAAATCACGTGTCCTGAAGACTTCCAAGGAGAGGTAGCTCATTTTTGCCAGAGAAGTTGCGGGGCCAGGTTGGGGCCCTAAAGCCAACCTTTTGGGCTATATCAGGGGTCAGCAACCTTTGTTGCCAGGGAAACTGGAGGGGGGGGGAAAGGCGTGTGTGTGTGTGTGTGCATGTGTGCGCGCGCTGCGCAAAATTGCCCCAACACATGTATGACGCCTGCTGCCGTGCGCATGCATGCGTGGCGCTAGTGCCATTTTGGAAGGCCCCCCGTGCCTGCGGCGGGCGAATTTACAGGCTCAGGGGGGGGCTTCCCTGCGCCTTGGAAAGGCTCCCCCGCGCCTGCGGCTGGCGAATTCACCCAGGGCAGCAGCGGTGCAGCCTTCCAAAATGGTGTCTGCTGTTATGCGCCTTTGTGTGGGGAGGCAGTGGCGGTAGCGGGACCGGTCATGGGCCGGTCCCAAGCGTGGGCTGCAGGTTGCCAACCCCTGGGCTATATTCTGCCTTGGGGCCACACTTTGCCCACAGCCAGTCTAAACTTTTCTCAACAGTAAAGTATAACAGTAACCGTGTATTCTTAAACAGTCATGTTTAGTAATGCTCAGATGCTGTAGTAACTAACAGTTTGGAAGTATTGTTTTAATTTAGAAAATAAAAACAAAAAGGTTTTGTACAGGGTTAATATGTTATGTTAAGAATATTTTTCAAGTTTCCAGTATAGGAGAGTGCGTCTGCAGATTGCTTCCATGATAGAGTATTATGTGATAAGATGATGATTAATATTAATACAAGGAGCAGATACTACAAAAAATTGGAGGACTCAAGAATTCAGAGCCTAAATATGAAGGGGTATCATAAAGTTTTAATTATCAGATTTAAAAAAATTTGACAGAAAGTTTGTTTTGATTTCTGGTTGTTAACTTGTCTCTACATAGTCATCATTCAGATTTACACATTTTCTTCAGCATTTCATGACCCTCTGAATACTGTTATTGTAGATATCTGCAGATTGTGCCATACGAGGATTTTACACATTGTTATTGTTATTGTTATTGTTATTACGGAGTATTTATACCCCGTTGTTCAGCCAGAAGGTTATCAGAGTGGCTTACAAATGGTTAATTAGGCACAACCTGTCACAAAACTAAAGGACACAATGAGGTGATTTTCTCAACATCATGCATTTAGGGACCAATGATGACACTGACAA